GTTCTCCCCCCTCCAATAGAACCGTCAGCCCCCCCTCAAGACGTTAAATGTGTCAGCATGCGCTCCACGGCCATTTTGGTAAGTTGGCGCCCGCCACCGCCGGAAACTCACAACGGGCCCCTGGTGGGCTACAGCGTCCGCTACCGATCGCTGGGCTCAGAGGACCCGGAACCCAAGGAGGTGAACGACATCCCCCCGACCACCACTCAGATCCTGCTGGAGGCCTTGGAGAAGTGGACCGAGTACCGCATCACGACTGTCGCTCACACAGAGGTGGGACCAGGGCCCGAGAGCTCGCCCGTGGTCATCCGCACCGACGAAGACGGTAAGCACCGGCCCCGGCCCGGGACCCCCCCTCCGCAGGCCCCAGCCCAGCCCCCGCCTTGGAGCCTTGCGTCTGCAAAACGGGGCTGGTGGCCCAAAGGTAGAAGCCACAGTTGCGAGAGGGTGCCGTGAGGCCAGCAGCCTCCCCAAGAAACTGCTGGCTCCCTGGTCTTGGAATTGGTGATTCTAGACCGGGCAGCCTTAGCTTTGTGGCATCCTCTCCCGGAGCCTGTGCCTGCAAGGTTTAGCTGGCAGCGCCATAATTTTGTCAAACGTGGAAATGAGGTATAGGAAACGGCACGTGGCACCTGCAACAAAATGACGGTCCCTTGACCCCAGGAAACCTGAGTTTTAGACTCTTGGGATAATCTGGCATTTGAAGCTTCCTTTGTCTGAGCCGTCCTACCTGGATGGTAGGAAGACTGCAGTGCGCTCGTGCTGGTTAGCCAGCTCCCTGGGGGATGGAGACCAGTTCATAGCATTGGCCAATTTCCGTGGTGTAGACGTTCCCACCATGGCCAGTTTCAAGCTAGAAAGCCCAGAGCTGGCAAAGTGAGGCTACAGTCCTGGTTCCGAGTCACATGGTATAGGCTAAGCTGAGTTTACAGTGGGGAAATGCAAACTGTCTTCTCGATCCTGGGAACCTGGTTTCCTTTCTGAGCCATTTGCCCGGAAGGCTCATCGGACAGCCCCCTTTATGTCCTAAGCATGGGGAAGAAATGAAGCATCTCTTACTGCCAAACCCTGGGGTGAGTGGGGTCCGGGAGCAGGCTGAAAAAGATCCCTAGTGCCAAGTGGGCCACTTGCCTGCTGCAGTATGTAGGAGCTTGGAGCTGCACTGCCTGGTTCAAAGAGGCTTTCTTTGCCTCTTGCTAACCCTGTGATCTCCGAATCAACCCTCTGGGCCTCAGTTTCCCCGAATGTGAAATGAGGATGCTAAGAGCCCCTCTCTCTGGCAGGGATGATGCCGTAAGGATGGAGGCACTGTGGGTGTGGCCTGCTCCGGTCACAAGGCCCTGGGCAGGTGGTCGAGGCTCTTGGGGGGCCTCAGTTGGCCACCCATAAACGGGGCGCGCCCTCAGGGCCCCCTCCCGGGGCTGTGGGAGGTGTGCGCAGGAGGCCATGCCCTCCCCGACCGGCGCCTAACTGGCAGCCGCCCGGCACCCCGGCATCGCATCGGGCAGTGGCGCTGCCCGGGGCAGGGCCGGGCGCCCCGGTAACGGCCCCGCCCGCCCCTCCCCTCCCCTCCCGCCCGCCAGTGCCCAGCGCGCCCCCGCGGAAGGTGGAGGCGGAGGCGCTCAACGCCACGGCCATCCGCGTGCTGTGGCGCTCGCCCGCGCCCGGCCGGCAGCACGGCCAGATCCGCGGCTACCAGGTCCACTACGTGCGCATGGAGGGCGCCGAGGCCCGCGGGCCGCCCCGCATCAAGGACGTCATGCTGGCCGATGCCCAGGTGGGCGGGGCCGGGGCGGGGCGGGGCCCGGGAGGGGGCGGGGCCCCTGCAAGCTCCGCCTCCTCGCTGCTTCCCTCGCGTGCCTTGGCCTCCCCGCTCACCTGCGTCCTCTCTCCCCTGCCGCCTCCTCCCGCGCTCAGTGGGAGACGGATGACACGGCCGAATATGTAAGTAGCGCCGCCGGCCACCACCGTGCTCCTCCCGCGGACCGTGCAGTGCTGTGACTCCCGCACGCCCCTCTGTGAAAGGGTCTCCTCCTCTGGGCCCCCTCCCCCGCCATGCGCCCCCCCCCCCATTGTCTCTCGCAGTTCACAACCTCCGATTTCGCACCGGCACAGGGGGCTCTGACCATTGCATGCGCCAGATCCGAGTTGGGCACCTGCTGTGCTTGCAGGAGGGGGACCTGGGCGCCAGGCAGAGGCCAGGACCTGGGGGTCTTGCATCAGCCCCCCACCTCAATAGCTCCTGGACTCCTTAGTCTCAGGCCTCCTGGGTCCCGGTCCTTCAGCTTCCTCCTCCTCTCCTGCCTGGCCTAGAAACATCTCTCCGCTCTGATGGGAGGGTTCAGTGGGCCCCGAGGAGGAAAGACGTCTGATACCACGGGTGCCGTCCCTCAAGGCCCTAAACTAGAGACAGGAATCGCTGTGTGACTTTGGGCAAGTCACTGCCTCACTCTGGGCTCTCTTTCTGCGCCTAAAGTAGGAGCCACAGGCTCTTCTAAGAGCCCCAAGTGTGACATTCAATTGGCACCGGTCCCACCCCCTCCCGTGGCCTCTGTCCTGGGCCCCAGCTCTGCCCTCTGCTTGGTTCCGGCAAGACCCTGGGGCGGGGGGTGGCGTGTGAGGCTCTGGGGCAGGAGACCCTCTGTTCGTGCGTCCCTGTCCCCCCACTTCATCCTCCTGACCTGGGGCCACCCCACAGCTCCCAGGCATGAGGGACAGTGCTTGCGTGTGTGTGTGCATGCTTGCAGACGTGGGCACGCGGGTGATGCCGTGAGGGTACGCACAGGCATGTGTGTGCCGTCACGCATTGGACAGGCAGGAAGCTACCGACCATACGCTAGACCCTGTGCGAGGTGCTGGGGATGTGGCAGGAGTGACCAGGACTTCCCTGAGTCCCTTCCCCCTAGGGGGGACATATTCTAGTAGGGGAAAGGGACGTTAACCAGAACAAAACACAGATATGTGTAGTCACAACTGTGACGGGGACAGGGTTTAGCAGGGACGTAAGTGTTTAAACATCAGCTCTCTGAGTGGCAGGAGGGAGCAGTCCTGATTTGCAGCATCTGCCCATTTCCATGGTGTAAATACTCCCGCCACATCAGTTTCAAGCTGCCTGCGACATGTGCAGTAGGTCGTCATCCTACGGTATTGCCACCGTACACATACAATAGACAAGACAACCTCAAGAGCACAGATGTTAGTAAACGTAGTAAAATAACTAGAGGCCGGGCACGGTGGCTCACGCTGGTAATCCCAGCACTTTGGGAGGCTGAGGCAGGAGGATCGCTTGAGCCCAGGAGTTCAAGACTAGCCTGGGCAACATAGCAAGACCCCATCTCTACAAAAAATAGAAAAAATTAGCTGAGCATGGTGGCTCACCTGGTAGTTGCAGCTTCTCAGGAGGCTGAGGTGGGAGGATCACTTGAGCCCAGGAGTTGGAGGCTGCAGTGAGCTGTGATGATGTCACTGCACTCCAGCTGGGGTGACAGAGCAAGACCTTGTCCCAAAAAATAAAATAACTAGGAAGGGGTGGGTTTTGAGTATTTATTGCTTTTTATTTTAATATAATTTATCCAATTGTAAGTTTACTCAATTCAATTTTTAAGGATAGCCGTGTTTAAAACCAGCTCACAAAATTCCTAAGAATTTAACCGTTTCCTCTCTTGAGTTGGTATAGGGCATCTCCAGCACACCAATGGGTGCAGAGGCAGTGGGAACAGTCTGTGCAAAGGCCCTGGGGCAAGACTGCACCTGGCCTGTTGGAGGCACAGCTAGGAAGCCCGTGTGGCTGCAGCAGAGGGAGAGAGAGGAGATCACGGCAAGGAGGGGACAGGGCAGGTCATGCTGGACCTTGAGGGACACGGAGAAGACTTGGGCTTTGACCCGAGGGAGGTGGGAGCCATGGAGGGTTGTGGGCACAGGGTGCACAAAGGTGCTTCAGGGAAGACAGCCTATGGGGTGGCGAGGGTGGGGGTCAGGACCAGGGCAGAGGGGACCGGCTGGTCCAGGCAGGCAGTGGCAGGACAAGTCAGGCTGCATGTGCGCCTCTGAGCATGGACGTGTGACACCCCGTGGTCTCTGCATGAGCTCGTGTGAACGTCTCTTGGCCGGGCTGGGGGGTGGGCGGGGCTGGCTGCAGCCTCGGTGCTCGCTCTGACCGCCCCCGTCCCCACAGGAGATGGTCATCACGAACCTGCAGCCCGAGACCGCGTATTCCGTCACGGTGGCCGCCTACACCATGAAAGGCGACGGCGCTCGCAGCAAACCCAAGGTGGTCGTGACCAAGGGAGCAGGTACGAGACCCCCCCCGCCTTCCCCGTGGGGACCAGAGCGTGTCCCCAGAGTTCTGAGCCCAGGAGGGGACAAGGTGCCCCGGGCAGGGGACGTGCCAGAGCAGAGGGGCCGGGGCTGCTCAGGGGGGCCTGCGGAGATGGTTAACAGGCAGTTTTAACTCTGTCACCCCAAACCCTTTCCCCGGCTGGCTGTCTCTTCCTCCTCGTTTAGGTCTCTGCTCAGGCTGCACCTCCCCCGGGAAGCCTTCCCTGACTACCCCCGCCCCCCGCCACCCTGGGCCCCTGTAGCGTCCCACACTCGCCCCATCACGGCTCCGATCACCCTGGGCAGGTTGTTAGTTCGGGGTGGCGTGCCCGTCTTCCCCCACTGCGCCATGTGAAGATGGCTTTCCTGGCAGCCCTGCCTCAGTTTCCCCTCCTGTCAAAGGGGGCTGGGTTTTTTCCCCCACTGGCCAAAGTTGAGCTGAACGAGGGTGAAGGGGGCGCCGTGAAGATGTGAGGGGAGGGCACCGCCCAGGCACAGGCGTGGCGTGTTGAAGGAACAGCAGAAAGGCCCCCGCCCGTCCCTTCCCCGGGAACCCTCGTTGCCACACGGCTGACTGTGCAGCGCTTGCTTAGACTATGTCTCCAGCGCCGCCGCCTCCAGGAAGCCACCTGTGATCTCTCCCTCCCTCCTTCCAGCCAGCAGGAGACTCCCCCCCTCTCAGGGACGCTGTCTCAGAGCCCTGTGTGCTAATAAGCAGAACCTGCTCCGTACGCTGCCCCTGCCCTGGGCGCTCACAGCAGTCACAGGCCGTTAAAGGTAGTGGGCGAATCCCCAGGGGCGAGGTCTGCGTTCATTTGCAGAGTGTCGCTCTCCCCCTTCCTTCCGTGCCTGACCTCAGGACCTCTCTTGGGCGTTGGTTACGGCCCAGGCTGTGAGACGCACAGAGCGGGGTTTTAGACACTTCGTCCCGTGGGTATGAGTCAGCCGCCTGAGGCAGGGGGTGACCGAGCTGTTCACTGAAGGGGGAGACAGACACATGCGGGCTGCTGCAGAGCCTTCAGATGTTCCCTCTTGGGTTCTCTGAGTCCTCTGTCTCCTCATTCTCCTTGTCCACACCCAGTACCATCCTACCCCAGGACCTTTGCACTGGCTGTCTCCTCTGCCTGGAACACTGTTCCCCCAGACCTCCTGGTAGCTTCCTCTCACCTGCTCCAAGTCTTTGCTTCTTAGCAAGGGCTTCCCAAGACCTACTTTGAAAAATTGCAACCTCAGGCTGGGTGTGGTGGCTCACACCTGTAATCCCAGCACTTTGGGAGGCCGAGGTGCGAGGATCGCTTGAGCTCAGGAGTTTGAGACCAACCTGGGCAATATAGCCAGACCCCATTTCTACAAAAAATAGAAAAAATTAGCCAGGCGTGGTGGCGCACACCTGCAGTCCCAGCTACTCGGGAGGCTGAGGCAGGAGGATTGCTTGAGCCCAGGAGTTGGAGGCTGCAGTGAGCTGTGATGACGCCACTGCACTCCAGCCCGGGCAATAGAGCGAGACGCCATCTGAAAAATAATAATTAAAGTTGCAACTGCACCCTGTGCCCCTGGACCGGCGGGTGTCCCCGAGGCCCTGACAGCTGCGCGGTGTCCCCACAGTGCTGGGCCGCCCCACTCTGTCGGTGCAGCAGACCCCCGAGGGCAGCCTGCTGGCACGCTGGGAGCCCCCGGCCGGCGCCGCCGAGGACCAGGTGCTGGGCTATCGCCTGCAGTTTGGCCGCGAGGACTCGACGCCCCTGGCCACGCTGGAGTTCCCGCCCTCCGAGGACCGCTACACGGCGTCGGGCGTGCACAAGGGGGCCACATACGTGTTCCGGCTGGCGGCCCGCAGCCGCGGCGGCCTGGGCGAGGAGGCAGCCGAGGCCCTGAGCATCCCAGAGGACACCCCCCGCGGCCACCCGCAGATCCTGGAGGCGGCCGGCAACGCCTCGGCCGGCACCGTCCTGCTCCGGTGGCTGCCGCCCGTGCCCGCCGAGCGCAACGGCGCCATCGTCAAGTACACGGTGGCCGTGCGGGAGGCCGGCGCCCTGGGCCCCGCCCGAGAGACCGAGCTGCCCGCGGCGGCCGAGCCGGGCGCCGAGAACGCGCTCACGCTGCGGGGCCTCAAGCCCGACACGGCCTATGACCTCCAAGTGCGAGCCCACACGCGCCGGGGCCCCGGCCCCTTCAGCCCCCCCGTCCGCTACCGGACGTTCCTGCGGGACCAAGGTAGGCGCGCGGCGACCCCCGCACCAGAGCCGGACGGGCCTCGCGCCCGCCCCCACCCCAGCCCCCTCCCTGCCCCCCGCCCAGGTAAGTGTCGCTTTTCTGCTTCCTCGTGGACGCTCAAGGCGAGTCCAGGCCCCGAGGCTCCGGCGTTGGCAAAGGTGGGACGTGCCTCAGTGGCACCACCGCCCCCACCGCCGCCCCCACCCTCGTCCCCCCTCCTTCCTCCCCCTCCTCCTCCTCCTCCACCTTCTCTCTGCAGCCGCGCCGTCTCCCGCAGCAGGGACTTGGGACAGGGCAGGCAGGGCCGGGCCAGGGCCAGGCAGGAAGGCCGTGGGCATGGGCACAGCGGACGACAGGGAGCGCCTGGGCCGCCCCACCCCACCCCACCCCACCCTGCCCCGCGCCGGGCACTCAGGGCCTCTCTTCTGCTCTCTCCCTGCGTGGCCGCACCCCTGCAGTCTCGCCCAAGAACTTCAAGGTGAAAATGATCATGAAGACGTCGGTGCTGCTGAGCTGGGAGTTCCCCGACAACTATAACTCGCCCACGCCCTACAAGGTGCCACCACGCAGCCAGCAGGCTGGCAGGGTCAGGGAGGGGGCGGGTGAGGGTTCAATGTGGGGTTGATGTTGAGTCTGGGATCAGGGCTCAGCCTGGGATCAAGGCTTAGTCGATGTTAGGAATCAGAGTTGGGGCTCAGCCTGGGATCAGGGTTAGTCTGGGATTAGTGCTGAGTCTGGGATTGGGGCTCCAGTTGAAGATGGGGCCCAGCTTGGGATCGAGGCTTAGTCAATATTAGGAATCAGAGTTGGGGCTCAGCCTGGGATCAAAGCTTAGTCTGGCTTCGGTGCTACATCTGGGATCAGGGATCAGTCAGGGTTGGGGCTCAGCTTGGGATTGGATCTGAGTTTGGATGGAGTTTAGTCTGGGATCAGGGCTCAGTTGAAGAAGGGGCTTGGCTTGCGATCAAGGCTCAGTCAATATTAGGAATCAGAGTTGGGGCTCAGCCTGGCATTGGAGCTGAGTTTGGATGGAGGCTCAGTCTGGGATCGGGGCTCAGGCAGGATTGGCACTCTCAGAGCTGGGTTTCCTCCTAGGGTCGGGGCTCTGCTGGGATTTAGGTATAGTTGGGGCCTCAGCTGGGGTTGGGAGTCAGCAGGATCAGGGCTCAGCCGGAAGTCGGAGCCTGGGCCAGGCTTTGAGCCCCTCAGGCCCCACTGACCAGCCCCGGCCCGCAGATCCAGTACAACGGGCTCACGCTGGACGTGGACGGCCGCACCACCAAGAAGCTGATCACGCACCTCAAGCCGCACACCTTCTACAACTTCGTGCTGACCAACCGCGGCAGCAGCCTGGGTGGCCTCCAGCAGACGGTCACCGCCTGGACCGCCTTCAACCTGCTCAGCGGCAAGCCCAGCGTCGCGCCCAAGCCCGACGCCGACGGCTTCATCATGGTGTATCTGCCCGATGGCCAGAGCCCCGTGCCCGTCCAGTACGCTCATCCCCACGCCCCAAACTCATCACCCCCATCAGCTGGCCGCGCAAGGACTGGGGCAGGCCGCAAGACCTCTCTGTGCCTCAGTTTCCCTGCCTGTCTATTAAGCAAGGATCATACCAGCCCCAGCTTGTGAGGTTTTCCTGAAGATTCAGGGTTTCTTACGGGACATTGTCACTAGATGCCCTTACGTCTGCTCTTCTAAAACTCCCTAACACCCCCTCCCCTCATGTTCTTGACCTTTATCTGGGCAGGGCTAGAGCACTTTAGAGGATTTGGTTCTGGGCTTCCTGACTGGTGGGGAGACAGAGTTGGGAGTCCCCAGTGGGGAAAGGAGGACTCTGCCTAAGGAGGCAGAGGAAAATTAAGGGCTATAAGACTACGTGGGCATTGAAACTGGGGCTTTGAGGGATGTGTAGGAGTGCAAGGACAGAACTACATGAGGTAAGCCTTCTAGGTAGAGGGTATGGACAGCTCCCTCTAACTCTTTTCCATCTCCCAATAGGAGCTACTTCATTGTGATGGTGCCACTTCACAAGTCTCGTGGGGGCCAGTTCCTGACCCCTCTGGGTAGCCCGGAAGACATGGATCTGGAGGAGGTGAGGGTCTGGGACCCAGATGTGTCACCATGGCCCTGTGCTCAATTGCTCCCAGCTGAGCTCTGAGCCACCCACCCCTCTGTTCCCCCAGCTCATCCAGGACATCTCACGGCTACAGAGGCGCAGCCTGCGCCACTCACGCCAGCTGGAGGTGCCCCGGCCCTACATCGCGGCCCGCTTCTCCGTGCTGCCATCCACGTTCCATCCTGGTGACCAGAAGCAGTATGGTGGCTTTGACAACCGGGGCCTGGAGCCTGGCCACCGATATGTCCTCTTTGTGCTCGCTGTGCTACAAAAGAGTGAGCCCGTAAGTGCTGAGTGGTGTCTTCCCACATCCGGACACACCTTCTGAATGAGAAGGACCCCACAGAGACCTCAGTCCCTGGGACCCTGACCTCAAAGCCACGTGCAGATCCTCCCAGCTCCCTGTGGTCAGAGCTGGGCAGAGGGGAGGACTTGGGATGGAGGAAATCCTAAAGGGAAAGCTTCTTAGAGGAAGGGATGTTGGAGCTGGGGCTTTGAGGGATGTGTAGGAGTTCAACAAAAGAAAAAGCATCCCGGGACTTGCGTGTGCAAAGATGTGGAGATACAAGAGGAACAGAAAAGATTTCAGAGTGTCTGGAGCAGAGGAGGTTAGGGGGAGAAAGCAAAGATTGGCAGGGACCAGGCCATACAGGCCACCAGGGTCCTAGTTCTAGGGAACTACAGGAGGTTTTCAAGCAGGGGAGGAGCACAGGTTTGTGTTTGAGGAAGATGGATTCTGATGGAGGTGCCCCGGTTCCTGCAGACCTTCGCAGCCAGTCCCTTCTCAGACCCCTTCCAGCTGGATAATCCAGACCCCCAGCCCATCGTGGATGGAGAGGAGGGGCTCATCTGGGTGATCGGACCTGTGTTGGCCGTGGTCTTCATCATCTGCATCGTCATTGCCATCCTGCTCTACAAGAAGTGAGCCCCTTGTACTCCCCCACACCTTATGTAGTTCTAGTTCTCAAACTCCTGTACATCCCTCAAAGCCCCAGCTTCAATGCCCACAGAGTCTCGTAGCCCTTAATTCTTCTCTGCCTCCTCAGGCAGAGTCCTTTCCCCACTGGGGACTCCCAACTCTGTCTCCCAAATCCTCTACGGTGCCCTAGCCCTGCCCAGTGAAAGGTCAAGAATATGGGGGGTACTAGAGAACTTTAGAAGAGCAGATATAAGGGCATTTAGCAGGGAGAGCTTCCTGGAGGAGGAAGAGAGATGGACTGGGAAGATTCAGGGAAAGATCATCACTGATGGCCTCTGTGGGACAGAGAGGGAAACAGAGGCTCAGAGAGGTTAAACCACTTGGTCGAAGTCACACAGCCTGGGGAATGGCAGGGCTGGGGTTCAAGCAGGAAGGACGGGCCCCGTTAAGAAAGCCACTCAGAGTCACATACCGAGCCCTTTCCGGCCAGCACACCCTCACCTCTCTTCTCTTCCCCCCTTCTCGCCCGTGTCTGCTGTCGGGAGCAGCAAACCTGACAGGTGAGACCCCACCCTGCCCTCGGGAGGTTGAGGCAGGGGCACAGGAAGGGTGGCGACGTGCCCGTGGGAGAAGGGACACCGAGCGCCCCCACAGCTCATACGCGTACTTGTGCATGGTCCTGGGAACCCCAGTCGTACGTGCACGCGGTCCCCTGCCCACTGTACGTTCCCGGGGCCCGGGTGTGTTCACACGTGTATACGCGTCTTTGAGCACGTGCTGCTCCTCACCGACTCTCCCGCTTCCTCCCCGAGAAGTAAACGCAAGGATTCGGAACCCCGCACCAAATGCCTCCTAAACAACGCCGACCTCGCCCCCCACCACCCCAAGGACCCCGTCGAAATGAGGCGCATCAACTTCCAGACGCCAGGTATGTGCTCGTTCCTGGCGTGGGGGACACCACCAACTGGGGGGAGGTAGCTGGAGGGACGAGGAAGCTGCCACCTTGGGGACCCTCCTCTGTCCCCTCTGAACTATGCGTGGGACAGTTAACTTCCCGATTCCCAAATACCACCACCCTCCATGGCTCTGGGCTTGGAGCTCTCTCATGGGTTGGTTCTACTGACAACCAAGTGAGACTTTGTAAATTTACATGTAACTTTCTATGTTTAGGTTTTTGAAAAAAAATTTTTTAAAAATTTACATTTAACTGATGGTTGCTGTCCTCTTGAGGAACCTAAAGAATATCTCAAAACAAACAAACAAAAAAAAATAAGAAAACACACTCAGAAAAACCCCACCTCTCATTTCTACTGGCAGAAAGAGCTGCGTTTCTGTCTGTATTTCTAGTCTGAGGGTCCCTTGGTGGTGGGAATTAAGGTTTGCCTTGGCCATTTTCCACACTCCCTGGCGAGGTGCAGAAATTACACCTGCCTCACGCCCTGCACCTCTCCGCTCCACGGTGGCAAGGTTTCATGCTGTCCCTGCCTCTTCCTAGTTCCCTGTAGATGAACAGGATTCAGCTAAAGTCACCTGCCATTCCTGGCGGGAGAATCAAACCAAGGTCTCGTCCTTGCGTACGATGATTCGCAGACTTAATGGGCTCATGCCAGCTGCTTCTAACCAAATAAGGCGTTTTCATTTTACTGATGGCTGCTGTTCTCCGTATGGGGTCACAGCATGGTAACATCTGTCCCTCCACCTGTATCTGGTCTCTACTTCCTGTCTCTGAACTGGTTCGTATTGACTCTGTTTCCAACCAAACGGAGGTTTTTAAACATTTGTATTTCACTGATGTCCGCAGTCTTCCTTGAGGGCTCATGCACAGTGTCACGTGCCATTCCTGATGTTCTTTTCTTTTTTCTGTCTCTGGCCTGGCTCACGTCACTTCTGTTTTCATCCAAATGAGGATTTTAACCATTTCTATTTAACTGATGGCTGCCATCCTCCTGAAAGGATCATTCAGGGTCTCATATATCACAACCCCCCACCCCCAGTGTATTTTCTTCTCTTTCTTCTCTCTGGACTGGCTCTTGTCACTTCAGTTTTCATCCAGATGAGAATGTTAAACCTGTATTTAATTGATGGCTGCAGTCTCCTGAAGGGCTCACGCAGAGTCTCATAATTCACTCCTAATGCATTCCCATCTCTTTTCTGTTTCTGGACTAAGCTTAATGTCAGTTCTGTTTCCATCTAAATAAGGGTTGTAAGTGTGCATATTTAACTGATGGCTGCTGTCCTTGAAGCTCATGGCATGGGCCCATATGTCCTTCCCCTGCCCCCCAGTTTCTCCTTCGCCATCCTGCATCCTTCTCTCCCAGCATCCCCTCTGCTGGCCTCAACAGGGAACCCAAGGCCAGGCTGTTTGGGGGTGGGGGGGGGCGGGTCACGTGGCACAAGACCCTAAAGCTTTGGAGTCCATGCTCTGCCCTCCGCATCTGCCAGCCAGCGAGGGGAGGGGGAGGCGGAGGCGGGTGGTGGGGCCCCCCTGCGTGTTTTCATTTATTTATTGTTTGCTGTTTACAGATTCAGGCCTCAGCAGCCCCCTCAGGGAGCCGGGGTTTCACTTGGAAAGTTAGTTCCTGTGTCTCTCTGTTCTCGGCTTCCTTTCGCCACGTTTGTTTTCATGTTTGGTTTCTCCATCCTGCCACCTGTCTCTGTCCCGCGCTGGCTCCGCGAGGAGGGCTGGGTAGTGGGGAGGGTGGGTTCGGTCCTCTGGGCGCTCAGTGGCGGGTTGTGGCTGCGTGTGCGCGTGTCGAGCGTGCGTGACGGCGACACACGCATAGTCAGGAGATGCCCATGACGTTGGCTGTTTGCCAGCCAGCCTGGAAACCTCTCGATGGTTCAACACGCTGCACACGGGCCCCGGGAGAGGTCAGGGGCCCATGGGTGCCCCATGCGCGCACACACCGCGCCTCCCCGCCCCAAGCCCTCGGCTCTACCTGACAGGGCACGGCTTGGTCCCTCTGCTCCCAGAGGGACAGAAAGAGGCATAGCCGCCCCCCAGGGGACAGGGTTTCTGAAGCCCAGCCGGCCACCTGTGTGTCTTCATTTCTCTGCTACTCACCTGCCTCTTGCCTCAAGGCACTGGGAGTCTGACATCCTCCAGGGTGACCTTCCCAGCTGGGTCAGGGGCGCCAGGACAGGCCAACGTTGAGACCCGAGCCCCCGCCTCCGTGGGTGGCGGGCTCTGCCCGGGGCAGCCTCGAACCTGCCACCTTCAGACGCCCGGCCCCGAGTCTTCCCCTCCCGCTGAGCCACGCCCCGGCCACCCCTTCTAACTGCAGCGCGTCCGTCCGTCACAGACTCACACTCGTAGAGCACCCCCGCCACCGGCCGCCCCATGACGGCCCACACGGCGGGCTCTGTCTCCCGCAGGCATGCTCAGCCACCCGCCCATCCCCATCGGCGACATGGCGGAGCACACGGAGCGCCTCAAGGCCAACGACAGCCTCAAACTCTCCCAGGAGTACGAGGTGAGCGGCCCCGCCCCCCGCGGCCCTCGCCCCGGGCTCCCAGGCACCTACTGCGTCACCCACCTACCTGCCTCTCCTCCCCGCGTAGTCCATCGACCCCGGACAGCAGTTCACGTGGGAACACTCCAACCTGGAAGTGAACAAGCCCAAGAACCGCTACGCCAACGTCATCGCCTACGACCACTCCCGTGTCATCCTCCAGCCCATCGAAGGTACTGCCCCAGCGTTACCCGGCCCTTCCTCACGCCATGCAACGCACAGACCTCCTCTTGGCCACTGAGGCCTGGTTCTGGTCGTAGAATCAGATGGAGGCCACTGGGCATCTTTAGATACGTATTGAACTGATGGCTGCTGTCCATCTCTTGGCACCGTCTGTTCCTCTACGCCAGCAGGGCTTCATCAGAACAGTTCTCCCACCCAGGGGACATGTGGCGATGTCTCGGGATGTTTTTGGTTGTCACACTGGGGGTGCTCCTGGCATGGGCTGGGGGGAGGCAGAGACAACCCAGCCCAGAGGGTGACCTGGACCTAGACAGCAGGAGTGCCGAGGGGGAGAAACGGGAAGTACGTGCCCCACAGTCGCCGGGGGGACTCTTGGGGCTCTCTGAGGGAGCTTCCAGGAAGGGGCGGGCCAGACCGAGCCGGCCCAGCGGGCCGGAGCCCCCCACGGACCCCTGGCTCCCGCCCGGCCACAGGCATCGTGGGCAGCGATTACATCAACGCCAACTACGTGGACGGCTACCGGCGGCAGAACGCGTACATCGCCACGCAGGGGCCGCTGCCCGAGACCTTCGGGGACTTCTGGCGTATGGTGTGGGAGCAGCGGTCGGCCACCATCGTCATGATGACACGGCTGGAGGAGAAGTCTCGGGTGAGGCCCGGACCCCACGGCCCTCGGACACCCCACCCGGGGCCGGCACGGCCGCGCTCACGCCCATTCTGTCGCCCGGCGCAGATCAAGTGCGACCAGTACTGGCCCGGCAGAGGCACGGAGACCTACGGCTTCATCCAGGTCACCCTGCTGGACACCATCGAGCTGGCCACGTTCTGCGTCAGGACGTTCTCCCTGCACAAGGTGGGCTGCGCCGGGGCGAAGCGTGTTGGGAGGACACAGAGGGCCCCGGCTTCTGCCCAGGGAGCTCCCCGCGGGACAGAAAAAACAAAGCGTGCCCACCCGGGCTGACCCCATTCTCACGGAGCCCGCTTCACGGATGGGGAAACTGAGGCTCAGAGGGAGCACCGTTAGGAGGACAAAGCCAATAGAACCCAATAGAACCTGTTGTCCTCTTTAGTCATGCTCCACGTCCTCACTGCCCACTTGTCCTGTGGCCTCACCTGCTTGGGGCTGTCATGGGGCCTCAGCAGGGTCCCAGCCCTGCCCTCAAGGAGTTTCCAAACAGAGCTGGACAGACACCGGCAGCCCCAGGAAGTCAGGGCTGGAGTGGAGAGTATCCTTAGATAGGTATTTAACTGATGGCTGCTGTCCACAATGCAATTCCATCTGTTCTTCTATATCAGTGGTTCTGAATTGGGACGATTCTGCCATCCAGGGGACATTTAGCAACATCCGGGCACATTTGTTATTGTCACAATGAGGAGGGCAGGTGCTGTTGGTCCCATGGTCCCAACACCCCACCTGGTCATCCGACGTCAACCACACACTTGGCCCAAGTGCCAGCAGATGTGTAGCCGGACAGGAGAGAGTAAGCATTCTTGGTTCATTCACGCACATTAGCACGTGCTGTGTGTCGCTCGCTGACCTGGACATCAGGACACAGCAGGGACTGAGACAGACAAAACGTCCTGCCCTGTGAGGCTTACAGTCTAGTGCACAAGACACAGACGACAAACGTGAAATGACAGGAAATATTACACATAGAAGGACAAAAATAAAGCAGAAGAGAAGAGAGTGTATGTCAGGGGACCTGGAAGAGAGGAGAGGGTGCTGTGGTGAGAGCATAGGAAACAGCATTTCAGGCAGAGATGCAGGCAGAGAGAATGGGCTGTGCAAAGGCCCTGGGGCAGGATTGCACCTGGCATGTTGGAAGCACAGCGAGGAGGCCTGTGGGGATGGAGCAGAGGAGGGAAGGAGAGGGCCAGGAGGGGAGGGCGCAGGTCGTGCAGGGCCTGGTGGGCAATTGGGAGGATTTGCGCTTTGACCCCAAGGGAGGTGGGAGCCGTGGAGGGTTATGGACAGAGAAGGGAGGGGTCCTGACTTACAGGCGCTCTGTGGTGGCAGCCAGGGGGTGGCAGACTGGAGGGGTGAGGACAGGAGCTGGGGACCAGGACAGCCTCCATGGAGCGGGAGAAGCAGGTAGATTTGGAGGCAGAGTCACCAGTACTGTCCAGGGGGTGGGGTGGAAGGAGGCGAGGGTGACTCCCAAGGTCCGGCCAGAGCTGCCCTCAGCTGAGCTGAGCTGGGCCGGCGGGTTTGGGAGGAAGCTGGCATGGTGTTGGCCACGTTGGCGGGGAGGCGCCCGCGAGACCCCCCGCATGGAAACACCCGCTGGGTGTCAGCCCCCACGGGACATGGTGGCCTGGAGGTCTGAATCTGGGCGTCCTCGGCATGTGGGTGACGGGCCGTGGTGACAGGCGCCACCCCTGCGGTCCCTAGAACGGCTCCAGCGAGAAGCGCGAGGTCCGCCAGTTCCAGTTCACCGCGTGGCCGGACCACGGCGTGCCCGAGTACCCGACGCCCTTCCTGGCCTTCCTGCGCAGAGTCAAGACCTGCAACCCGCCCGACGCCGGCCCTGTCGTGGTCCACTGCAGGTGGGTCCCCCCGCCCCGCCCCGCCGCGCCCACCCCCCGCGGCCCCTGAGTGCTGCGTGGCTGTCCCCGCAGCGCTGGCGTGGGCCGCACGGGCTGCTTCATCGTCATCGACGCCATGCTGGAGCGCATCAAGCCGGAGAAGACGGTGGACGTGTACGGGCACGTGACGCTCATGCGCTCCCAGCGCAACTACATGGTGCAGACCGAGGACCAGTACAGCTTCATCCACGAGGCCCTGCTGGAGGCCGTGGGCTGCGGCAACACGGAGGTGCCCGCCCGCAGCCTGTACGCCTACATCCAGAAGCTGGCGCAGGTGGAGCCCGGCGAGCATGTCACCGGCATGGAGCTCGAGTTCAAGGTTCCCACAGGGCGGAGGCTGTCGCGGGCGGGGAGGAGGAGGAGGCCCTGAGAGCTGGAGGTCAGGCTCGCCCCCAGCTCTGGGGACAAGCACTCCAGCCAAAAGCCCAGCCTTCCCCAGCCCAATGGCGGCCCCCTTGTCCCCGCAGCGGCTGGCCAACTCCAAGGCCCACACGTCACGCTTCATCAGTGCCAATCTGCCTTGTAACAAGTTCAAGAACCGCCTGGTGAACATCATGCCCTACGAGAGCACGCGGGTCTGTCTGCAGCCCATCCGGGGCGTGGAGGGCTCCGACTACATCAACGCCAGCTTCATTGACGGATACAGGTACCTTGCCGTGGCCCCCTCGGGGGCTCCGGAAGGATCCCATCCCTGTTCCCAAGAGACAGCCAGCCTTAGGGGAGACAGCTGGAGGGACACTGCCAGCCCTGGGCAGTCAGGGCTGGGTAGAGGGAAATCTTTGGATGTGTATTTAACTGATGGCTGCTGTCCATAAGGTGGTTCCATCTGTTCTTCAATATCAGTGATTCTCAACTGGGGCATTTCTACCACCCAGAGGATATTTGGTGTCTGGGGACATTTTCGATTGTCATATGGCAGTTGGAGGGAAAGGTTGGAAGTCAGGAGATATCAGGGACAGTCTCGCAGCTTCGTCAAGGAGTTTGACAGTTTCCCTGTGTGCGGAATGGGATCATCGGGAGGGAAATGGGGTCTGTGCCGGGGGTGGCTACTGTCAAGTCCAGGCTGGGGCTGGGGCTGGGGCTCCCGCCAGCCCCGGGCTCACACGCCCCACCTCGCAGGCAGCAAAAGGCCTACATCGCGACACAGGGGCCACTGGCGGAGACCACGGAGGACTTCTGGCGCATGCTGTGGGAAAACAACTCAACGATCGTGGTGATGCTCACCAAGTTGCGGGAGATGGGCCGGGTGAGCCGGGGCCCACGGTGGTGGGGGGGACCGGGTGGGAGCCAGGCTGGGACTCAGACGGAGCTGACCGTGGCCACCGTCTCCTCGACAGGAGAAGTGTCACCAGTACTGGCCGGCCGAGCGCTCTGCCCGCTACCAGTACTTCGTGGTGGACCCGATGGCAGAATACAACATGCCTCAGTACATTCTGCGGGAGTTCAAGGTCACGGACGCCCGGGTGAGTGCGGGGGCGTGTTGCTGGGATCGGGGCGGGGCTCCCCGCTGGGCGGTCGGTGCACCACCTTCGGGCATCGCAGGTGGAGGGGAAGAGTGCGCTGACCAGGTGACCACGCGCTCGTACCGCCACGCAGGTGGAGGAGAGCGTCACGGCCTGACTGTAGTCCGCTGGCGCCATTGGTGCTGCAGGGTGGCTGGCGGCACCGCCGGGTCGCGGAGGATGACGAGTCAGTGATGGGGGTGGGGTTGGGCTGCAGCGATGACAGGATCATGGCGGCGGAGAGCGGGTCTGGGAAGGGCAGATGCTGGGCGCACCGTGGGACGGGAAGGGTGGAGGTGTTGGATGTCACGTTGGCTGGGATTGGAGACGTCGGGAGTGGCAATGGCGTCATTGGATGGTGACAAGGAGGGACAAAGGGTCGTCGGGGTGAGCGCACGGCAGGAAAGGTGAGCCGAGGGTAGGACAGGAGGTCGACGGCAGGAACACAGCCGTGGCCGCCGCCGACCGCGAGACCTGGCTCTCCCCGTCCCAGGACGGCCAGTCCCGGACGGTCCGGCAGTTCCAGTTCACTGACTGGCCAGAGCAGGGCGTGCCGAAGTCGGGGGAGGGCTTCATCGACTTCATCGGCCAAGTGCACAAGACCAAGGAGCAGTTCGGCCAGGACGGCCCCATCTCTGTCCACTGCAGGTGAGCCCCTCCCGGGCCCCCGCCTGGCTGGGGAAACTGAGGCATGGTGGAGCCAGCCCCAGGGATTGGGCAGTCGGGCTTGGGGGAAGGTCGGGGCTCCGGAGCACCCGCCCCTGACCCGCTGTGCCACCCCGACAGCGCCGGCGTGGGCAGGACGGGCGTCTTCATCACGCTCAGCATCGTGCTGGAGCGGATGCGGTACGAGGGCGTGGTGGACATCTTCCAGACCGTGAAGATGCTGCGCACCCAGCGGCCGGCCATGGTGCAGACGGAGGTACGGAGGCCGCGAGCCTCGGTTTTCTCCTCTGCGAGATGGGCGCAGCCACCTTGGACCCTCGGGGTCATTGTAGGGGGAAGGTCCACAGACGCCTCCTGCTTTGGGCCGGAAGGGCACGAGTCAGCCCTTTGACATCATGACGGACTGACGTCCAAAGCTGTGTGCCTTGGAGTGGACAGAGATGGGTCCACTGCGGTGCCCGAGTCACAGCCACTTTGCCACTCAGCCTGGTCCCTGCCCCACCGACCACAGATGCTGAAGTCTAGCCAACGTACAGATGGGGAAACTGAGGCCCAGACCTGGAGTCCTAGACTCCTAGAGCAAGTCCCAATGGAGGGATTGCTCTAAGACACGAGTAGGGGCTCCAGGCAGGCAGGGGGGTGTAGCACTGCTTGCTGCATTTAGGGACCCTCCCCTGCAAGAGAAGGATCTAGGGACTAAAGCGGTCTTCTGTCCCCAGAGAGGCTTGTTCCTGAGGGCAGTAGGGAGCCCTGGGAGGCGTTAGAGCTAGGGAGGTACTGACGGGGCCCCCCTTCCCCTCTGCTCCTGCAGGACGAATACCAGTTCTGTTACCAGGCGGCGCTGGAGTACCTGGGAAGCTTTGACCACTATGCAACCTAAAGCCATGGTCCCCCCCCAGCCCGACACCACTGGCCTGGGATGCCTCCGCCCTTCCCGGGCGGACCGCTGGAGGCCTGGAACCCCAGCGGGCAGGACAGGGAGAGGAGGAGGTGACGGCTGCGTTTCTGAGCAGTCTCCGGGGACGATGCAGCCCCTCGAGCCCCCCGCACGGCCTCGCCGACCCAGCGCCCTCCCTGGCACCGGCCGCCTGCCTTCAAATACTTGGCACATTCCTCATTTCCTGCCGATTCCAAAACGGGAGATTCCGGGGTGGGGGCGGGGGGATGGTGAGCAAACAGGGGTGCACCCCAGAACCAGAGGGGGGTGGGGCGCAGACCATGGACTGACCCCTGGTCCTCCCCGGGGACCTGGGAGGCTCCTCCCTGCAGCCTGGAGGTCTGGGCTGGGGGGAGACAGATTCCAGCTTTCTTTTAAAAACACTCCATGTAACCGTATCCCGTGACATTTCTTTTTTTTTTTTTTTAAATAGTGTATTTTTTTTTTCATTTTTTTTTTAAAAGAAGAAACAAACAAAAGACTTGCCAGTCACCGAATTTACAAGGAACAACTTCGCTGATTCATGTTCTGTTCAAAGACAGTCTGTTTTTTCACGGTAGGAAACGTCCTCGTTTGTGACAGCTCCGTTCGCAAGTGCGTGCGCCGGGCCCACGGCTGTCCCTGGCTTTTTATTTCGTCCCAACATTGGAAGTTGTGCCCCGCTCACGCGGAAGAACGGGACGTCCTTTTGTTCCTGGCTTCTTTTTGCCTTTTTTTTTCCCCCCTCCCCTTTCATTTTTTCTAAATTAAATTTTCAGACATATCAAGGATAGTTCTGAGGGTGGGGCCGTGGGGGGGACAGGGACCCCCTGCCACAGCAGCCCGAGCTCCCCGTCCCCCAATGAGAGGCCGACATAAGGGAAAGTGGCCGTGCGCTGCCCCGCATCAGAGACCCTTTTTCCCTGGGACTATGGGGCGATTTGGGGGACTCTCCCCCCACCCTGAGCAAGTGAGTTTTTTTCTTTGTACGAGAGCAGATCTGCGGTTCCTTTCAACACTTTATTCAAGAGGAAGCAGCTGGGTGGTTTTCCCACCTCTGTGTATGTAGATAAATCGACTTTGTATTAAAGGAAGATCGTCCGACCCCATCGTGGCGTCTTTGTCATGGCCCTACCTGTCCCCCCGTCTCATCCCTGGGACATGGTGGGGACGGGTGCTGGGGAGCTGATGGTTGCTGAGTTGGCCCAGAGAGGTGGTGGTGCTTGTCCAAGATCACACAGCACCTGGCCAGGCACCAACCCACAGTCACACAATGAGTTTGACGTGAAGCTGGGATTCATAACCCGGCCAGTCACGCCCACAGCCCTAAAAATCACACTGTGCCGCCGTCTCCAGAGGGCCGGGGAGAAACTGACTCCACACAGGGAAGCAGCCCGTCAGGAGCGCTGTTCTCCCCATGCTCAGTGGGTGGACCCGTACTCTGAGCCTGAGTCATACCCTGGGGGCACTGAGGGTGAGCCGTTTTATGTCTATACCCTTGCCTGAACCCTCTACCCCTCAGGCATAGGAGCCAGAGATGAGATAAAAGATCCCCCCAAGACCTCAGAGAAGGGGTGGTCTTGGTGAGGGCAGAGGCCCAGGCGAGGAAAGAATGGAGTTGCCCCTTTTAGAAACCAACATGCCAAGTACTCAAAAAAAATAAATATAGAAGATAGGACTAACACTATTAATAAGTTTAGTCAAATAGATTTATCAAACCCTATATATTTCTGCCAAGTTCTCCGACACATGGAACATTTATGAAAATCAGCAGTGAGACTTTCACAAATTCTAAGAAACAAGTATTAAGAGATCCCAGTCTTGGCTCAGAGGGGTAGATCAGCCTCTCCTGGGAAGGCCTACAATAGGAAATTTGAAAACACGTTTCTAAATAAGGCATGAGTTAAGGAAGAAATCAACAGGAATGTTACGAAGTTTTTAAAATTCAACAGTTCGCATGGTATATTATGTAATGATGCAGACAAAGTAGTATTCAGAGAAAAATCCATAGCCTTGAATACATTTATAAGAGAACAAGAAAAATTTTAAATAACTTTTAAAAATAAATGAACCACACTTTCAATTCAAATATCAGAAAAATAGAATAAACCCAAGTAGAAAGAAAATAAAGATACAAGTGGAAATAACTCTAATTGGGCATCTTTGACATGATTCTTTAAAAAATCAAAAACTTTGAAAACACCAAAAGTAAATAAATCTTAGGCAAGTACAACTGAGAAAAAGAGAAAGTACAAATAACGTCAGAAAAGTGGGATAAGACACATGATGGAGGATATTTTCTTTTTAATAAGATGAGTATAGGGGGGTCAGGAAGGAAACCGAAGAGGAAGGGACAGCGGAAGTGGTGGCAAAGCTGGCAAGGGAAAAATCCCTCACTCTCCCTCTGTGGGGTAGTGGGAAGGGCAGACAGTAAAGTGGGGAAAAAAGATGGAGAAGAGCCATATAAAACTACATTTAGTAGTCTGAGTTCTGAATTCAAGAAGTAGGGGAGAAGGAAGGTCTTCTTAGTGACAAATTGTGGAACAAAAAGGAGAGAAAAGACAAACTCTAACCCAAGCCTAGTCCTACTTGAATCATCCAAGACTTTACCAACAGGGTACACTGTCTAGAGAACTCCTATTCAATCCTCAAGGCCCAATACTAAAAGCCCCCTCTAAGAAACTATCCCTATTTTCCCTTCTCTGGGCTGCCTAAGCCTCCTGTCCATTACTCTAACCAAACTCCAAGTCCACTGAGGCTGAAGTTTCTGAATAGGATCTATCTTGCCTTCCTTACTGGGAACAAGTCAAAAAGAACCTTTTTGGGAAAGTCAGTGTGTGTGAGTGACCTTCAGCCCTTGGGATGCTATGGCTACATGGTGGGGGTAGGTGATAGCAGACAACTTCTGGAAGAAGGAGCCCCTAAGGAAATGCCTCAGCCCACAGACATGATCACCAAGACCGAGCCTTTCCAGCTGCCTTGGTCCTACCACAGGGACTATAATATCCATCCCCATTTATTGAGCGCTTACTGTATGTTTCGCCATGCAGTCTTATTTAATCCTTGTAACAATGCACCATTGGAAAGATGAGAAAACTGCCTAGGTTACAAAGTGAAACCTCTCTCTCAAAAAAATAAAGAATTGGAAAGAACTTAAATATCAGAAGAATGTACAAAGAACTATGATACAGGCACATAAGAGAATACTATACAGCGATGACTATGAAGCCATTAGAACTATGCACCACAACATGAATGAGTATCAGAAAAGTGTAATTCCATCACAGAACACTTTAAAATATATAGCGAAAATGTATATTAGTTAGGGACAAACACAAACAGCAAATATATAAAAACTCATCTATATGGCAGTATTACCCAAAACAACTTGTGATTCAATGCAATCTCTATCAAATCCCAAAGACATTTTTGCAGCAATGGAAAAGCCAATTCTCAAATTTGTGTGGAATAGCAAAGGAACGCAACTTGACAAAATTATCTTGAAAAGGAACAATAAATTTAGAGGACTCACATGTCTCAATTTCAAACTTAGTACAAAGCTACTAACCATGGATAGACAGATCAATGGAATAGAATTGAGGACCCAGAAATAAACACGCACATGTATGGCTAATGAATTTTTTAAATCGACACATAATACATGTACATATTTTCAGAGGACATGTGAAAATTTGATATATTCATACCATCAAATCTAGGTAATTGGGATATCACCCTAAATATTTTTTTTACACTAGGAACAAATTATTCTCTTCTAGCTATTTTGAAATGTATAATAGATCATAAAGTAATAATCAATAATCAATAGCCACCTTATTGATCTATCAAGCACAAGGTCTTATTTCTTTCATCTAAGTATATGTTTGTACCCATTAATAAACCTCTGTTCATCCCTCCTCTCCCCAAATTTGTGTTCATTTGTTTTGAGACAGGGTTTCACTATGTTGCCCAGGCTGGCCTCAAACTCCTGGGCTCAAGCAATCCTCCCACCTCAGCCCTTTGAATAGCTGGGACCACAGGCACAAACCCTGACCCCTGCTAACTGTTTTTTTTTTTTTTTTGAGACAGAGTCTCACTCTGTTGCCCAGGCTAGAGTGCCGTGGCATCAGCCTAGCTCACAGCAACCTCAAACTCCTGGGCTCAAGCGATCCTCCTGCCTCAGCCTCCCAGGTAGCTGGGACTACAGGAACGCACCACCATGCCTGGATAATTTTTTCTATTTTTAGTTGTTTGGCCAATTTCTTTCTATTTTTAGTAGAGACGGGGTCTTGCTCTTGCTCAGGCTGGTCTCAAACTCCTGAGCTCAAACGATCCGCCTGCCTCGGCCTCCCAGAGTGCTAGGATTACAGGCGTGAGCCACCGCGCCCAGCCTGCTAACTGATTTTTGACAAGAGAGCCAGGACCATCCAATGAGAAAAAATAATCTTTTTAACAAGTGGTGCTGGGTCAACTGGATATCCACACCCTGGATCCCTACCTCACACCATATACAAAAATTAACTCAAAAATAGATCAAGGACCTAAATATAAAAGCAAGAACTGTAAAACTCTTAGAAAAACTTATCTTTAAACAAATTCAGGATAATTATTCCTTCTGGGCAGGAGGAAGAGTATGAACTCAGCAAAGGGTACACAGGTAAATTCAACTATATGTGTAGTGTTTTGTTTTTGAAATTGGGTATTATGTATATGGTATTCATTATATTACTTTTGTACATCTCGGATAAAAAACAAACCTATCAATGAAAAAAAAGAATAAACATCACCCTAGAACATTTGATTTCAAAAAAACTATTCAGGCCGGGCGCGGCCTTGATGATGCTGAAACTTTAGAACAGAATTTGGCAAACTTTTTCTGTAAAGAACCAGATAGTCAATATTTTAGGCTTCACAGGCCAGAAAGTCTCTGTTGCAACTGGTCACCTGTGCTATTGTAGCACAAAAGCAGCCATAGACAAAAATGAATGAGCATGGCTGTGTTCCAATAAACTTTATTTACAAAACAGGTGGCAGGTTGCACTGGACTCACAGGCTATCATCAGCCAATCCCTGATTTAGGAACATGTCCACTAAATTAAAAAAATTACACAAGAAAAGTCCGTTCTCATAACAACCATTTCATATAATACTAGAAATCCTAGCCAATGCAATAAGGCAAGGATGAGAAATGAGGTACACATATGGGAAATTTTTATTATCGCAAAAGATGTGCTTGCCTCTCTAGACAACTCAAGAGAATCATAT